GAGCCGAAGTCAGACGCTCAACTGACTGAGCCACCCAGGCACCTCCCGTGATCTCTTTAATATTACAGTAAAGAATACGATGAACCCAGGGGAAAAAAAAGAACATACACACAAAATTTTGCATAATAATTTTCGAGGTCCAGGGACCCCAGGTTGGGAACTGCCTGCTCTCAGGAAGCTAATGCAACCGAGCAAAAGTATTTCTGAGAAGGAATTTGAAGGCAGGCAGCTTGAATCCATAGCCTTCTAAGTCTGTGTTTCTGTGACTTCAGCAGCACACAATGGCAGGAGAATAGTGGCTGATGTGGAATTAGAGACTAAGGCTGCAGGTTTCTGAGCAGCCCAGGGCTGGGGTGGGGAGGGGGGTAGGGGGGAGGAGGAGGGGAGGGCAGTAGGGGTAGAGAGAAGGCAAAGCATGGGCCAGCCAAGAAGTGGCAGACGTGGCATTGTGGAGGGTGGCGGGTGGGACGGGTCCTCTCTGGGTGTGGGCCACCCGAAGCGCGTGGTCTGTAGAGAACAGAGAAATAGTAATAAAACGGAAAGTCCCGTTTTATGCATGTTGGCCATGATGCCCCAGCAATTCTCAACACTGACAGTGATAAAATCCTGCCCTCTGAAGAAGCCTGGATGTCGCGTCTAAACAACTGCCTGTATCTGGGTACACACGCCCCTGGGAGGCAGATAAAGAGATTACTCTGGAGGGAGTAGTCCAGGATGTGGGTGAGGTGCTGGTGGGCGGCCAAGGTGGAGCCCAAGTTGAGCTCCTGCTAGAGAAGACGCCTCCCTCGCCCCGCTGGTTAAGCGGCACAATTCAGTGGCTTTCATCTTCTAGAATCTAGATGCTGTCTGGAACCCTAAATCCTTCTTCTGACTGCCAGTCATAACCGTATGTGATTCACCGTCCTCATGCGTCCGCCCTGCCCCACATCTACACCTGCCTTGGTGTTTCACAGCCCTTTCGCCCCTTCTCCTAACAGATGGCTCTTCCTTACAGATTCCTCAGGTCTCCGATGACCAGGCACCGGTAGACACAGGATGCTGTCCCTTTCCTCCTCCCAGGTAAACGAAAGGAGTCTCTCCTTCCCTTTCTGACATGTTCCTGCGGGGGTGTTTTCATTCCATTCGTCAGACCAACCTGGGACGTAGAACCAGATTAGAGGGATCCACGTTTCACATGTTTTTCATCCTTAAACCATCAGGACACTATCTAGAGAATCCTGCTGCGGGGCTCAGAATGGTGATTATTCCCACCAGAGTAGGAACCGCCAGCTGCTTTGTAGCGTGACGGGTACTGTCACAGTGGTGCGTAGGTGTTTCCTTGGTGTCCCAGAGGAATTTAGTTGCTTCTTGAAACCCCTCTGCAATCTCTTACTTGGGAGTAATGATGGAACGGAGCAAACAGGGTCTGATTCGCCCTCCCAGTCTTCCTTGGAAGTCACTGGAGGGCTGGTAGTTCTCTGGAGGTTAGCCACTTCTCAAATGGACCGAATCTCCACCATCTCTTCCCATTACGGCCCACCCTCTTCTTCAAGATGGCCTCTGTGTGGTTCTGACCAAGAAGTTGCCCCATCACTGGCCAATGAAGTAGATAAACTAGGAACAGCTTGGTTTAACATTTGAGGTTGGAAGCAGGAACTTTCTAGAGGAGACCTCAAAGAAGCAAAAGGTACATAAGAGCAGCTCCCCGACCGGAGTGCCCACTGGGGGGATTCCAGGCTCCTAGCAACTACAGAAGCATGTAGAATGATCAAGCATGGTCAACTCACTGTCAGACTAAAGCACTGTCGTGTATCTTCATTCCTCAGTAGCTGACCGCTGGAGCCATACACAGTTTGGGGGAAATGTGGAGATTATACTTAGTTAACATTACTCAGGGCACTACACAACCTTCACAGCCTCTGTGAGGCCATGAGCACTCGAGCACTTACTTTGGACAATGGGAATTTGCCCTCAAGACAAGCATCCAGGGTTTGCACATAGAATAGAGCCTTTTTTTTTTTTTAATTACTTGCTAACATTATAAACCGTGCATTCAAAAAATAAATCTGGTCAGTAAGAAGGAATTCAGCTACCTATTTAACTACAGCAGCTGCCTGTGTCATCCACTGGTGCTCTTTATAGGAAACGTCTAAATAATTGAAATCTTTAATTGGGTTAAAGAGATCCCTAGCACATAGATGTTCTATAAATAAAAGTGAGTAAATAATATAGTGGCCATTCTTTTCAGGCCCTTCCCCTTAAAGAGACCATTTTGTTTTGTTTGCTCCAATAAGATCGGTGTTCAGGGACACTTGAGAGAGGTTAGGTTTCGGCTGGGGCGGAGCTTTCCCAAAGAAATCCCTTTTAGTTTGTTTCAGGTGGATTTCCACCTTCTCCCTTGGCTACTTCACTAAAAACTAATCATTTGTTTGTCTTTGCTCTGAGTAGCCAGGCACCTGGGCTTTGCATTTCCAAGTGGGGTCAGAGCAAGTAGTAAAGGTAGCATGCTGACCTTGCCTTGTTATCTGAAATCAGACAGGTTTAAGTAGCCCAGAGCTTAGGAGACAGAGAAGAAAGGGAAGGCAAGAGAAAAATGCTTATAAAAAGGAAGTGGTAAGACGTTTCTGAATTTCAGTGTGACCTGTTCTGTCAGGTGATTCTTGTGGGGGAGGAGACACGAGAAAAAAAAAAAAAGTTAGGTAAAATGTCCTTATAAAGACAAAATCTATTTCTTTCCTGCCTGATGATTTGTCACTCTAGTCACTTCCTGCCTTGTGACCGCGTACCCGGGTTTGACAAAGTTGTTCTGCAGATCAGAAAGAAGGGGGTTTCTGGTCACACGCCAGTACCACTGAGGACAGTTTTTCAACAAGGTAAAATTTCTTAATGTCTTTTTGTCATTTCTAAGTGCTTATGATGTTTTTCCTGGTTGGGCGGCTCTGTTTCTGTGGGTTGTGGGTTTTGCCTTCAGGGGACTGAGATCTGAGCACCTGTCACCCGAGCCCTCTGTGAACCATGTCACCGTTTAACTGCCCAGCCAAGCTGTAGCCACCCCATGTGGCTGTCCAGAGTCGGACCCCTCAGTTCTGTGGGGTGGCTTCTTCTCTAGTTATCCACAGTTAGCACCCCCAAAACCAGGATTCTTTTTTTCCCTTTTACTTTATTTTTATTTTTTTATGTTTGTTCATTTTTGAGAGAGAGAGAGAGAGAGAGACAGAGACAGAGCATGAGTGGGGGTGGGTGCAGAGAGAGAGGGAGACAGAATCTGAAGCAGGCTCCAGGCTCTGAGCTGTCAACACAGAGCCCGACGCAGGGCTCGAACTCAAGAGCAGTGAGACCTTGACCTGAGCCGAATTTGGACGCCCAACGAAATGAGCCACCCAGGTGCCCCCTTTTTTTTTCCCCCTTTCAAACCAAACCATGTTTTGATTTATTTCTCTTGCTTTATCTTGGGGATGCTATTTACTGTGATTTGATCTACTTTAAAATGTTTTCAGGAAAGTGGGTATTGATCATTTAGATTGTGCTGCTCATTGGCCTGGTGGGAGTAGTTTAATTTTAGCTCCGGTGGTTCTGTTTTTCTAAAAAGTTTCTTTACAGCATTTGAGTGGATGTATTAACGTCTTGAGTCATATGTTGCTGAGTGTGTTACTGGTTATTTGAGTGATTTTGGTGCCAGTGGTTTTAATGGGTATGTCTGATAACCACAAGGAATCGGAGGCGCCTTTTCTTCATTTACTCTCTAAAAATAAAAGCAATTTGCGTGGCTTAATTGTACTGTTTTTGTAGAATTGTTTGAACTATTGCTTAGGCTGATGACCAAACAAATGGCCGTTAAATTCTGGATGAAAGGCTTCTGTCTACATCAGAAATCCTGATAAAGTCGACATGGAATATTTACTCCAGAAGCTCTGTTGAAACACAGACTTTAAATCTTGTAGCGTCGGCATTCATTTAATTATCATTATCCAACAGTATTAACAACCATTGACAGATGATAAGCATAAAAGCCATTCAGACTGGAAATGGCTTAATTTATCAGGGTACTTATCAAAACCCAATTTTTCTTATTCAAGGATAGCAACTCATTTTTTCAAGTTAGTTCCCCAGGGCAACTTAAAAAAAAAAACAAAAACCTATCAGTCAACAACGCTGGTTTATTCGCCGTGTCTTAGTTTTGAATTTACATAAATTTATCATAATTGGTTTCTATTAAATAAAACATTTCAAAGAACCATCTGCACAGGCAAATTTGAATGGAATTAGCCATTTACCTATAAATGTGAATTTCTGAAAGTTGCAAAATGTGGGCATCAATATGTTTTACACATCTCTCGTGAGTGGTTTTAAACTAGCAAAAATGTGGAATTGGGGGAGGAGGACCTGAGCCCCAGAAAAGAACAAATTAAAAAAAATGCTCTATCTTCTTTCCAGTAAAAATATTAATGGGAACAAAATAAATTAGAGTGTGAAGGTATGTCAGTCTTTTCCTTACTTTGGAAGGAAATAGAATGGAATATGAAAAAGTTAATTCAAAGTAGAGAAAAAAGTCTCTTGATTTAAATCAAGTTTAGACTGTTAAAGTGTCAACCTGATACGCTATAAAATATCCATTTCTCTTCTGTCTAGCTCACCCCCAGTAGCATCAGGGAAGAATCTTCTGGGTCTTACCCATTGATCAAGCACTGTTATGGTGGGACATTTCATTAGCTATCTGAAGGATGCTTTTCTTGGTCACATTTAAAATTTTATTTCCTTTAACTTACAAAGTATGCCTTGAAACAATCAGTAATTTGGGAATCAATTTCAGTATTTTAATACCATTTATAAACCTTCTTCTGGTCCCTGTGAAGAAGGGAGGCCAACAAGTAAAGTCCCATTCAAATATGACCTACTTAGAGAGAACAAGACAAGTAATAAAAATATTATTATATTATAATATTTATACCTACTTACAACATGTAGCCACTCCTTCTGCATTATCTCACATAATGCCTTTAGACATGAGGCGGGGGGCTCACCGTGGAAGCAACTGGCCCACTGTCACTGGGCTATTGGAGGGGTCGAGGGATGTTAGACAGTCATGATTTCCAGCTCCATATTGCTTCTTTATAAGCATCTGTCTCTTCTGGATCCCTTCTTCCACACCAGCATATTTTTTTCCCAGATGTAGATCATTAGAAGCTTTTATTTCTGAAGCTGACTGAGGAGACCTTGGTGCTCATAATTTTAAAGGAAAGAGGGGGAGAAAGAGAGAAGAAAAAAATTTGCAATAAACCCAGAAGCTTTTTTTGTCTTTATAAGTAAGAGATATCGTTGTGGGTTTCATGTAATGAGTGCAGAATCCTCTTTTAGAGAATGAAGAAGTATCCTCTCTTAATTAATGTATAATTTTACCAAAGAATTGTACGCCTTCACAAACTTGCCTCAACCACTTCCCCAACCTTATTTCTTGTCACTTCCTTCTGCTCTGGCTGCCCTCCATCCTCTCACCCCCCCCCTCATTTGCCCATGTTCTGGGTGCACAAGACCACAAGCCGCCAGAAAGTTCCATGCTTTCACTTCTTTTTGTTCCAACTGTTGCTCTGATTGCTTTCTTATTTGTAAAACTTACAGTCAGTTTTCAAGACTCACTTCAAGAAACGAGTGCTTTTGGAAGTCTTCCCTACGGAACCCTTCGGCCATCTTCCTTGCCTCACAGTTTCTTCTGTGTGTGTGTCTGTTTAACGTTTTGATCTTAGAGTAAGTATAGCAGTAACCATAATTGCTTTAGTGTCAATTCCTTGTTTGACAGCCTGAGCTCCTTCTTAGCTCTCCTAGCACGTGGTCAGCACTAATGATATTTATTGAACTGGAAATTTGTCACACGTATTTTCTCTCAGCTACTTAGAGATGCATGGAAGTCTTTTCTTTGATTTCACTTATGAACTTATTATTTACTGAGTTGCTCACAGTGATGGCTGTGGAAGAAGATATAGTAATCATACGGTATTTTGCATTCTACCATGCTTCCTCTTTGCCAAAGCACTATTCTTCATTTTAGCCTCAAAGCACTGAATGGACATTGAGTGCAACGTATTTAGGAAATTTCCCAATGACCATCGCAAACAGACAAAATTACAATCTTATTATTTTGGTCTAAACACAGTCAGTGACCTCAAACTTAGCTACACTTACTGAAACTGTTGTAGTTGATAATGGGCTTCTTTGATGACAGAGAACCTAAGAACAGATATTAGTAACTTTTGCTTAGTTACTTTGGATTATTCTAGAAAGTTCTCAAGTCAACTTCTCCTCATTACTTGTAGAATAAAGACCCTCCATATATAGAGGAGAGAGGGCAAACACATTTTGATATCAGTCTAGGTGAAATAAAATTCACAAACTTGCTCATAAGATTCCATTAACGAAGAGTCAAAATTTATAAAGCAAGATTGTAAAGGCACCAGACTTTATGATTAATAGACTTTGTGGCAGAGTAACATTATTTATATTAGTCTAATTGTTTCTTTAGGGCTTTTTGTCAAGCTAGTTTCCCAACTCACAGAAACCACCAACCAAAATGATGCTATGCCATCTACATACTGAGCCCTGCGGGCATAATAAACATTAGCATTAGAGCTCCACCGAAATGTCAAACTAACCAGTGTCAACAGATTCCAAGAGTTGCAAGTTTCCCTGTTTTGCCAGATGGCAAGGCACTTACATCAAAAGCGTCCATGTTTCACGCTGTTTTCATTTTGAAGTTCTGAGAAGTTGCCACCAGATTAGACGTTCACATTTTTAGGGGCATCTCCCTACAGCTGCTGAAGACACACAGGGCTGCCCAGATGGCATCTCCCGTGGCTTTCCTCAGTTCCCTTCTGAGTCCATTTCCTTAAACTATTGACTGTCCCCATTGTTTTGGGTTTGCCAAGTTTCAGTGATTACATCAGTCTTCCCAGTAATTTCATCATCGCTTCATCTTGTAACCTACAGCAAGCAGCAGAGCGGGGAAGAAAGAATTTCAATTTACCACCCTAATAATGATAGCTAACACTCGTGTACTACTCACTCGGGACTGAGTATTTTTTGTGTTTTAACCAATACTGATATATTTAGTCATCCCTACGATCCTGTGAGGTAGTTACTGGTGTTATCTTCATATGTGAAGAAAGCCAATCCATTCAGATGGTTTATTACTTTAATTTTCTACATTTGAATCAGTTTTTTATATAACTGCCGAATTCCAGGAGAAATAATATCCTCCTGGAATAAACAGGCAGCAGACCATGGGGCTTATTTGTACTTAAGCTCTGGAGTTGAGCTCAAATAATGATAATTTATCCCAAGTAAATGGATCAGTCTTCCAATTGCTTTTATCAAACAGATTCCTCCTCTTCCTTTTCTTCTTTTCCTTCTCCTTCTCCTTCATCACCATCACCATCAGTATCTACCCAGCACCTCTCTGCACTTGACTATTTAGTTTTTACCAACTTACCGATCTCTGCATGGGTTGCAAACTATGATCTCCATCCTCAAAAGCTTTGAAAAGTTTTCAGTCTTAAAAGGTTAGAATACTTTCAGTCAAGTTTTAGTCACCTTTTGGACTGTTGTGACTGATAGACCCAAATAAATTAGACAATTTAGTATTTACACCGGAACACCCATATCCCTAATTGTACAGTCGTGGCCAAACATAGGTGCCCTAAAAACTGTGAAAGAATGCAAGATTGTTTTAATTGTGAGTTGAAAGAGAGACGTAAAAAGTGACCCACCTGGGGGCTTAAAATGAGTTTTGCTCGACTTCAGAGCCACGCCTGTGTGTCAGCCCCATTTATAAGTTACAAGGAGGCTTCTTTCTCAAATATGGTCATTGGTGGAAGGAAAAGCTGCAATGTTAAATTGAGGAACTCGCACAGCCACAGTCCTGTGGTTGCAGCATTGATTCGTGTTTTAGTCCAGCAGCAGTTACATAGCCAGTGGATGCTCTCTGCCTTATCTGTCTTATCTGTCTCTGTCTGTCTCTGTCTCTGTCTCTCTCTCTCTCACACACACACACACACACACACACACACACACACATCTTTCTGAGCGGCTGAACTAAAATGGAAAAGAGATTATGTTCTCCACCGGCAGAAAAGCCAAGACACCGAATTCTGCAGGCGAATTAATTATGCATGTGAATTGCAATCTCCGGATAATTTGTGTTCCTTTTTTCTCTGGTTGTACTTTCAGGGGGGAAGTGAATTAATGGAATAATTACTTTGCATTTAAACAACACCCTGCACGTTGATCCCTCAGTCGGGTAGTCAGTACCGAAATTTATCTAAGCTGTGTACCCAAATATATGAAGTGAAGAGGTGCACAAATGTATGTGTATAAAATGTGCATCTTCTTCCTTTTCTCCCACAAAATTTAGAATTAGAATTGCATCTTTGTTCATCTCTGGTGTAACATTTTAAAATGTGGGTCCTCTACACCTCCTTGACATCATCAGCCCATGTTATTTTCACTGGGTGGGGGTGGGGGGTCCTTAGGGGAGAAATCTGGGCGATACATGCAAAGTGAAAGTAAGAAAAAAAATGAGCAACGCCTATGCTGTTATGCCCCCCTTCTTCATCTTGACAATGTGAAATGAACTTTCCCTGTCATTTCCAATGCTTTGTAAACATTAAAAAAAATCCCTTTGGAAAGATAGAATATTATGGTCACCTTTGAGGAATTTTTCAGATTTTTCCCTTCCCTTGTTGTCTTTCAGATGAAGTCTTTTCATCAACATATCCTTGATCCTTTGTTTCTTTCCTATGACCACAGAGTAAAGGCAATCGGGACACTTAATCTGTCCGATCATATATAAAGTATACAATATAGAATGTATTTAATATTGTATATCATTTTAGTTTTTTAAAGTTTGTGAGTCTGACTGTCTGTAATTTCTGTGCATGAAACAAACAGGTATGATATTCAGAAGACAGAGCAAATTTGGAGGCAAATTTGGATTCGTATTTTGGTCTTTTACTAAGTGTAGAGCCTGAGCAAGTCTCAGTTTCCTCATCTATAAAATAGGAGAAAGCACTGTCTGTTTCTAGAACTGTTCTTGGGGTCATTTTCCTTTCCTATTTCCCCATGCCATCAGTCTGTCTGCACAGTCACTCTACGACACTCATCATCACTGCGGACTGACCGAGCCCTCGCCATTTGCTGGGCGTTGTGCTGAACACTTGACATATATTTACTCGTACGTTTCAACACAAAAGATGCATAAGGTTGATATCGTCATATTCTTATAACAGATGACCAAACTGAGGTTCATGGAGGATTAAGTCCAAGGTCCCAGAGCCAAGGTTGCCAGAACCAAGATGTACACCCTGCCTCTTTCCCATTTTATAGTCACAGTTTCTTAAAGGTGATTTAAAATTTTGACAAAAGAAATGATATATATCACATATCCCAGTATAAATTGGTATCGGTAAATATTTGCCAACCAAACTGTGGCTTCCAACAGACTGAAGATATGTATAGCCCGTCAAATTAATACAAATTTCCTGCCTCCATGTATCTGTTAGTCCTCATTTTTTTTTTTTGAGAATGAGTTTGTCATTAGAGATTCTAGAACAACAACCCCAATGAGCCTATAGAAAATGAGGTCACATTGTTAAGAATAAATAGAAGCTTCTGTTGTAATTGCGAACATACAAATGTGTGCTGCGTATTGTCTTGGTATTTTTCCAGCTCCAACAATCATAGAGAAAATGCCTAGAGAATGAGGGAGTGGAGAGCAGACAGAAGTAGGGCACAAGCTCACAGAATCCGTCCCCTGGACACCTGCGATTAAGGAGACATTGCCCGATGGTCCCCATCACAGATACTCATAGATCTCGTTTCTTTTGGTGACTCATGGAGATGTGGTCAGGCTTTTCTTAAGATTGCTATACATTTTCCCACTCTGGCCACACTTCCTCAACTGTCAGAAGGTACTTTCCACCGTCAGTATTTCAGGCAAGATTAAGCCCCTTGACCACTCAACCTCAGATCAGCCAATACCAATGCTGTTGACTTCTGGTTATGTCAGGTAGCACTTCTGCAATACCTTTTGCAACTGACTTCAAGAACTCTGTATGAGAAATGTGCTAAAAGAACCAAAACGAGCCAAACTAAGACCATTTGAAGGTAGAAAACAGATGTGAAATATAGATTTACATACACACAGACCTACATGTAACATACACACAATTAAGTGTGGATTTTAGGTGATGACTCTACATAATACTTGATACAATTTATGGTGGAAATTGCGTTTATTCCCCAAGATGATTTTGTGAAACTTCTTTTTTTTTTTATTTCCCTGTTCATTTCTTCCTTGCTTTCTTCTTTCCTTCCTTCATTAAGCACTATTGTATACAATTTAAATCCTCTGTCTCATTTAATTCTAATACAACCCTATGGAGTGAGCACTGTAAATTGCATTACTAATAGCGCTTTTTTACATATGAAGAAACTGAGGCTCAGAAAATTTAAGGAGCGCCTAGTTGGCTTAGTCAGTTAGGTGTCCGACTCTTGATTTCAGCTCAGGTCATGATCTCAAAGTTCATGAGTTCCAGCCCCACACCAGGCTCATGCTCGGTTTGGAGCCTGCTTGGAATTCTCTCTCCTTCGCTCTGTGCCCCTCCCTGACTCACACTCATGTGCTCAATCTCTCTCTCTCTCTCTCTCTCTCTCTCTCTCTCAAAATAAATAAACTTAAAAAAAAATGTAAGGAGGGCCACCTGGGTGGCTCCGTCGGTTAAGCGTCCGACTTCAGCTCAGGTCATGATCTTGTGGTCCATGGGTTCAAGCCCCGTGTCAGGCTTGCATCTGTCAGCCTGTCGGCGCAGAGCCTGGAGCCTGCTTCGGATTCTGTGTGTGTGTCTCTCTCTCTGCCCCTCCCCTGCTCGTGCTCTGTCTCTCAGAAAGAAAGAAATTAAAAAAAAAATTTTTTTTTTTAATTTAAGGAATGTGTACAAAAACACATAGCAAGAAGCAGTTGCATGGAAAACTCATCATCTTTTCACCATACCATGCTGCTCCCTAGTTTATTATTGATATACAATTGTATATGTAATTTCACAAAGGAAGACAGGATCATTAGCATTTGAAATGGATTTTTGCTGGCTTGGACTAGGAGAAAGGCAGCTTGTGTTGTTGCAATAGGTGAGGCTGTAAACTGTGGAGCCTAGGCCATTCCTGAAAGACGTGGTTGAAGAAACTTCTCCCCTTGTTTTCCTCTCTATCGACATCTCCGAGGTACAAAGTACATTTCATGGATTTTGCATCCCTAGGTTTTTTTTTTTTTTTAATCTGTTACGTCGTTTAAGTGTTTAGTTGACTTCTGTTTTTCCCATACCTTGGCTGAACCAAACGACAATTCTCAAGGCTCTACTTCGCTTTTCAGACCAATCAGTGACTCACTTTGAGACTTTGGGGAGTAACTTCACTTTTCAGGGCCCCATTTCCCATTTTCTAACATATCCAGTTCCTTCCTCACTTTGTAGGGCTGTATTTTCTGCATGGGAGATGGGGATAGGAGGAGGAATCTCTGTCCATATAAACAAACCCAAAATGGCCTCCAGACACAGTGGTTTTGTTGCATTAGGAAGCTGCGGAGTATTTGTATGACCTAAAGGGGATGCCTTCAGCATTGTAGCGGAAGATAGCAGGGAGAGCCTAGATCACCAAACTTTTTCTTCTGGAAACAAGAGCTGGTGAGGAAGGCAACCACATTGGCACTTCCCCAAACTCTTCTAGGGGCTGCCTCCTGGGCCAGTCATACTAAACCCCCAACGGCTTCCTTGGTGACCTTCTCTTGCTTGACTCCTCCCTTTGCAGGGCTATTTTCTCCTATACAGTAGTCCCCCTCTTATCCACGGCTTCGCTTTCCACGGTTTCAGTTACCCATGGTTTCAGTTACCCGCGGTCAACCGCAGTCCGGAAGCAAAATATCCTCCTCCTGACATTTTATCAGAAGGTAAAAGGTCAACAGTAGCCCAATGCTACGTCCCACCACCTACATCATTCACCTCACCTCGTGTCACCACGTAGGCATTTTATCATCTCACATCATCACAAGAAGGGTGAGTACAGTACAAAAAAATATTTTGAGAGTGAGACCACATTCACATAACTCTTATTGCAGAATATTGTGAGAATTGTTCTGTTTCATTAATTATCGTTAGTTTCTTGCTGTGCCTAATTTATAAATTGTACTTTGTCATAGTTGTGTATGTATAAGGGAAAACATAGTATTTATTAGATTTGGTACTACCCGTGGTCGCAGGCATCCGCTGCGGGTCTTGGAACATAGCCCCTGTAGATAATGGGGACCATGGTGTGGAGAAATGGAGTGCCGCTCTCCACTTTGTCTTTTTGGAAAATTCCAACTGGTTCTTTGAGATGTAGCTCAAGGAAAGTTAATATTGCCTTCTTTGGAGACGTCTCCCTTCTCCTCTGGGGCAGAGTTAAGTGCTTCTCCCTCTCTGCTCCCACAGCGCCGTGATAATAACACAGTTAGAACGTGAAGGTCAGCGTGGCCTCTAAGGGGCAGTCGGCACTTCCCTTCACAGGATTGTGTGTCCTTCAAGAGCAAGGATTCTTTGCTATTCATCGTTGCATCTCCAGCCCTAGAAGAAGGCCAGGGCTTTATTCAATGTGATGGGATGATAGGTGTGGAGCTACTAAGGAAGAGCACCCCTTGTCCCCCAGAGACAGGAGGCACAGGCAGGAATGGGCATGGTCACCCTGGCGGTGTTCTTGCTCCTAACTCTCCCCTGAAGATGTTGAGGAACTGAAGGGAACTTCTCCAAAGAGCCCCGGAAGGTTTTAGCCATAGGTAAAACCTTACCAAGCGTGTGTATCCCCAGTGAACTCGAGGTCAGAGCTGAGTAACCCCGAAGGAGAGCAGAGAACCTTAAGGTATAGAAATCCAGTGACCCCAGACACGAGGAAAGCTGCCTCCAGGAAGACCTACATCGTGTTGGCCTGTAGTGGGGTGTAGGGTGCCTCAACCGACCCCCAGGCTCTGTGCCAGCATGAGGCTTCCCTAGTTCACAGCAAGGTAACCCTGGGCCAGTTATTAAAATCTCAGTTCCCTCGTCTCTGAAGAGCAAATCATAACAGTGTTCCCCAGGACTGTGGCTCAAGGTAAATGCATATAAAACACTTAGCGTTGAAGAAGCACTCCGTAAACGTTACCTGGCCTTCTCATTTGTCTTTTAGCCATTGTTTTCTTGGACTCTAACAAAAATGGAGAGCATATTCTCTGGAGAGAATATGGATTAATCATCCGGCATGAATAAGCAAAAAGACTGACTGAACTCTAAGCATTTTCTCCTCTGTGGAATCCCAGGTCACCTGTCACTTCCTGTGGGGCCGTGCCTGGCTCTCCGGGAGAGAGCCATCTCCCCACTTCCTCTGGCTCTAGATTGCCCCCTGTATTCTAGTGACTGGTGTCTCTCTTCCCTACGAACCAGGCCACGGCCACATCTTACCTTTGTGTTGCCAGCATCTAGCCCAGGACCTGGCATATAGTAGGTATTCGGCAGATATTTACCGAAAGAGGAAATGTGGGGGCACCCGGGTGGCTCAGTCAGTTAAGCGTTCGACTCTTGGTTTCGGCTCAGGTCACGATCTCCCGGTTCGTGGGATGGAGCCGCCTGTCGGACTCTGCACTGGCAGCGTGGAGCCTGCTTGGGATTTTCCCTCTCTTTTCCTCTGTCTCTGCCCCTGCCCCGCTCACGCCATCTCTGACTCTCTCAAAATGAGGAAATCAAGACATGCACAGATGTATACATTTGTTTAGTAGCAGATATTTAGAGTCCCCAGAGGGTTTTCATAGTCCAGATGATGATATGCAGATTACATCCAGGTGAACCCCAGCACCCTTTCCTTGCTATTTCCTCTGTGCTCCTGGTTCACTGGCTTAGAGCATCCTGGCCGGTTTTACCCTCCTTTCGGCCACTGCTGTCTCCACAGTTCCTTTCCTGTCCTCTCAGAGTCAGGCACGTAGTTATCTGGAGACCCCACCGCCAGGCATCACAGTGGCCAGCAGGGTTTATAAGACAGCTTGGAGGCCCAGCCCCGGGCTGTGCCACCCTAGGCAGAGACCCGCTGGTGGCTGGCAGGGTGGGGCCAGGGAGCATCCTTTAACTTGGGTGTCATTTCTCTCCTCTGCGGCAGGAGGAACATGGCCAGATTGGTCATCTCTGCGGTCCCTTCACCGTCACCTTCCGTGTCTCTGTTATCCTTCTGTCACTTAAGAAAGTGGGCTTGGACCCAGACCGTAGCAAAGAAAACTGTTAAAGACTTGGACGACAAGCCCCCAGAAGCAGGTTAAAAGAATTGTTTTGAAAGGCCTGGTGGCAGTCGTTAAAGGCAGGTGACAGAATCTTTATGAATTGAGCAGCTTCTCTAATTCCCCCCTGAGAATAGCCAGAGAGAGAGAGAGAGAGAGAGAGAGAGAGAGAGAGAGAGAAAGCTTTCATCGTATCAGAAAAGATTTAGGTTACAGGGTAGCGATTTGAGACATCGGAGAGGTTGTAGGGTTTCCTGATTCGGATATTTTTAAGAACATAGTAGATGGCTCTCTTTCTGGGACAGTTTGCCTACCGTCTTGCCTAGAAACTGGGAGGGAACTGGATCGGCGTGCCTTGAGCTGTACACGGTGGCATGTCAGAAAGGATATCCCACGTGCAGCTCGCCAACTGCCCTGCTCTGCGCTGAGCGGCCGAGCAGTGGGCATCTGCCTTGCTCAGTGAGGGCAATGCACGAGGCCAGAGCTCTCCCTGCCGCTGAGGTAAGAGCAGGAGCCGGGAGGGGCAGAGTGGGACCCACCAGGGTGATAGCCCCAGCTCCTGATCACCCCTGCCCCTATTTCTAGGCTCCTTTGAAGCACACCTTCTCAGGGCCCTAACTGGTGCAGACGCTTACCAGCCAGAGAGTAGACTTTGGGAACTTTTCACACGGAAGGGATTCCATTTCTCAACTTACAGATGAGGAAACGGAGGCCCAGGGAGGCCAAACAGAGCCTGATATCACACGGACGGGCAGTAACCTAGGTCTCCCAAGCCCAAGCTCCACATTTCCTTCCCGTCTCTGCCAGGTTTTTGGTTGTGGTTTCCTTGGAGATGTACAAGTGTGTAAATTATCTGGGTCTCTTCAGTTTATGGCTGGTGAAGGTGTTTGCTCTTTGTATGTTTTGGTAAGTTTCTGTGTTAATTTCTTCCTCTTATCTTCTTTTCCCCCCTTGCAGTTCTGTTTCACTTGCCCATTTTTCATCTTCAGAGCTTTTCTCATCGTATTTCACCATTTTGCAAGAAGTGAGCCATAGTCTCTGTGTCACATTTGAAACCTGACATGTAACTGTGGGCTTCATAGAGCCCGAGGCTTTGTGACCCCCTCGCTTATAGCCCAGCAAGCAGAGCAGTGCTTTGCACACAGACTAGTAGGTGAGGAGAAAGTATGGACAAATGAACAAACGAGGAATGAATGATGTCTGATATTGAGGTAACTGAACTGAAGAGTGGGTGATCTATCAGT